GCCTGCGGCGCAGATCTCGGGGTGGCCCAGGCCACGAGCTGCCGTCCCTCTCTTCAGGAGGATCCAGTCAGTTGTCTTGGGGATGACACTTCCTACCTATTCCACTAATACAGAAAAATGACTCTCGTGGCCACCGTGAACTCTTTGGTTTTGTCAGGCATGTAGCACCTACCCAGCGTTCTGGGAACACAGTGGCAGGTGCCACTAGAGATGCTAAGTGTCTTCAAAATCAGGGCCGTCAAAAAGCAAGACTCTCCCCCACCTCCGATTCAGTTGAGTGTTTAGTGGATAGAGGGGGATATCAAGTAAAATGAGACCATTTTCTTCTATGGTTTGTATCACTCAATAATCGTGTGCTGCCTGGAAAGAAGATGGGTAATTCTGGCACGGAGGGCAGCCCGGGCCCAGCTCTCCGCCCGCAGGATGCAGGGCTGTCGTGCCTACGAATCACATTAGGGGACTTCAGCGTGGCCTGGCCACCTCCAGGAAGCAAGCTGGCGCAGCAGGGAGCTTTGCTGGACACCCCCACCCCGCCCAGGTCCCCTGGTCCCCTGGGCCTCCCCTCCCCACCGCCCCTCCATGGGGTACCCTCCCCACTGTCTCTCTGGCTGTCTCCTCCCCTGCAGACACTCTTGGGGAGCCCCTTTGGAGGGTTCTCCCTGCGTCTGCCCTCCCCAGGACGGCCTGGGCGGTTGGGGGTCTGGGGGAAGAGGCCTGTACCCGAGGATCTGTGCGCCTCCTCAGAAAGCAGGTTGCTGATGACCCAGAGCATCCCCTTCCCAGCCAGGCAGCAGAAGACACAGGTTGTAAATCATCTTTCCACACAGCACCCCCCGAGTTGGGTACGGGAAAGCTCCCGGCAGCGGCAGCTTGGGCCTTTTGCCTTTCTTGGTGCCCCCCTCCCCATCGGCCCTCATGTTCTGGCAACATTAACACCAGCCACTTCCCACAACGGCCCTGGAGCAGCACGGTCCTCCAGAACTTTCTGCAGCCAGGGGAACACCTGTCCCTGTGCCATCACAGCAGTGGCCACCAGCACCCACAGCTGTCAACCGAGAGCCCAGGGGCCTGGCATGGGGAACGCAAGGAGAGGAGCCGACCGCTGCCCACTCTTGCTTGGCGTCCAGCGTCTAGGGGCCGTGGGCTGCCCTGCCCTCCGCTCTGCGCCCCACCGTAGCCAACGTGCTGGGGACGTCGCATGGTTGGCACTGAGAAGGGGCTGGCGGGGTTGGGTCTGCAGTCCAGACGCCTGGAGCCCCCAGCAACGGAGGTGCAGGGAGCCTGCAGTGACGGTCAGCTTTGAACACTTGGCTTCAGTAAATGTTCTTGGTCATTGCCTCCTCACCTCTGGCTGAAGTGACAGAGCTGGAAGAATACCCATCAGGCCTTCTGATGCCAACCAGAACTTTTCCACGGGAGAATCCCAGAGATGAATTATGAGCACTTTATCCAGACTACAAAATGGGAAATCTCTTCTCTCATTTTTCTCAGCCGAGGGCTTTTGAAATCCCTCCCCCCCGCCCAAAGCAAATCCCTTCACTGGTACAGTTAACTGATGGTTTTTCCAAGCAGCCTCCCCTGAGCCCATCAGCACAGCATTCATGGCTTCTGAATCTGGGCGTTTTCGGTGTCCCTGGGGTGGGAACCAGAGCTTAGCAAGCTGCAGGGGTTTTCGCCTGCATGTGGGGGGGGGCCCACACTTGGGCTTGGGGGCGCACATAGCAGTGTCCCTGGGCCGAGCCCCAGAGCTAAGCCTGCGCTCTCTGACGTGGCTGCAATTTGAGTGAGGCCAGCCCCTTACCCTCGCACTCGCAGCTCTGGGGTAGAGCTCGGCCATCAGTATTTTTATTGGGCAGCCCGCCCTGGCGCTCTGTGTCCTTCGCTTCTCCTCCCTGCAGCGGGACCGTGTTTCTTCTGCCATCGTGAACTCCTGCGGCAGCCTGGACCTCCACCTGGGTACAAGCAGGTGCTCTGGCCAAAGCCCAGAGTCCCGGATGTTCTCAAGAGCCCTGCTCTTCACGCACCTTCCACGCTCAGTTGTGCATTTGCTCTCAGAGCAACTCTATCTTGCAGGTGAGGAGACTGTACCCAGTTTTATACCACTGAGCTAGAACGTTCTGCCCATCCGCTAGGGGCCCCAGGTGGCCCACGTGGGCTCCAGCAGGGCCCAGGGTCCCAGCTTCCAGGAAAGGTCCCGGGAAGAGAGAAGTGCCAGTTAGAACCGCTAGGAACAAGCCAGTTCTAGTACCCGAGACCCTGCTCTGCCCAGCAGCGTCTGGGAGCCAGGAGCCCAGCAGCAAGCACCCCAAGCCCAGACCATGTGGTTCCCCTTGCTGGTGCACGGCCTCCCTGCTCTCCTCCCGATAAAGCATCAGCAGGCCAGGGCAGAGCCTCACGGGCCGCCCCAGCAAGCTAAGGCACGGGACCCCCACCTGCAGGGAACCCCCCCCGCCCCCGACCTGCACACACCTGGGTCCTGGGCACTCTCCCTGCCTTTTCCCCACAACCCAAATGTGGTCAGCTCAGTGTGGGGGCCAGAGCCTGTCCAGACACTGCCAGTTGCATGGGGGGCAAAAGAACGCTGAGGTGGGTGAGCTCTAGACCTCATCTCTATGGTGAACAAGCGGGGGACTCATCCTTCACAAGGTCTCCTTCAGCTGGTGACAACAATGCAGCTTGAGTGCTTGTAACAAACCATGTAACAGAAAGCTGAAGCTGCTTTCAAATGGATGTGGTTCCCACCCCCCGCCCCTCAGTTGTATTGATTCACAGATGCTGCTATTAGGCAGAATTTATAGGAAGTTGTTTTCAAGCCACAGGAGACCTGTTTGTACAACTTGAAGGTTGTATTTATTTAATGTACCTCAAGGTGTTTTCATAATGATCCGTGTTTTAATAAAAACTATTTCTGGCCTCTGTGTCTCCGGGTCTAATTGGGACAGAGAGGCAGAGAGCCCGTGTGTGCCTCTGAAGACCAGGGTCTCGGGCGGCTGGCAGGGAGTGTGAGGCACCTGTGGCTGGCCAACCGTGTCTCCGAACATCGTTCCAGAAAAGGGCAGGGCCTGGGGGCTGGGAGGTAGAGGGCAGGTGCCCGCCAGGGCTGGCCCACAGCTGCCCCTCCAAGCATGTGACATCCGAGGCTTCCCGGAGGAATGCCGGCCACTGGCTCAGAGCGCTCTTTCATTTGGATTTTTTATGTGAATCATTTGGTAGGACCCCCCCCACACACACACCCTCACCCTGTGTCATTTGCTAGCCATGGCTTTTGTCTCCGGAGCCTGTTCGCCTGCCCTTTCTTGGGCAATGCAGGGACATACCCCTTGGCTCTCCAGAGCGGAGGCCCTTTCCCTCCAGCTTGTATTCAGGTGACATTCCCTCTCGTCACCCAAGGGTGTGGGCCATCTCAGGCTAGCTGCGAAGGGCCTTGTCAATAGCTCATAGCGTGGAGCGCAGATGGCTTGTGGGCAGACCAGAGGTGGGTCCTACCAGGCCAAGCTCCCCAGACCAACGCGGGGTGGCTGGGGGTGGGGGGGCAAACCCCACCCCCGGCCTTCTGATCAAAGCCCACATTCACCCCACCTCCCTACACCAGGTGACAGGCCACAAAGAACCCTCTAGGTAAGCAGACACCACTGGGATGGATGGTCCAACTTTATTTTACAGATACACACGCATATAACTCACCTCTCCTGGAATCACCGAAATTGAAATTTAAACCAGGAGAATGGCAAGGCTCCTTCTCTCCCTTATTCAAGTTAGCAGCCTGTCTCTTCCTTGGGATTGGGGGGGTGGGTGCAGGCCTGACACCCAGTGCTGGAGCACCCACCCCTGTTGACCTCCCCGGAAAGAGCCCCCCCCTCCCCAGGCCCCAGACCCGAAGGGGATTCTCTCAGCAAACACAGCACTGTTGCAGAGGCACGGTGTAAGGCCTCGAGGTGGAGGGAAGACGGGCATCCATTCCTCCGTTAACAAACCAGCCACACAAACCACTTTTCGTCAGGACTTCAGCTTTATTAGTGCTATTAGCGAGTCTTCCTAAGGTCGGCTGCATGCAACACACAGGTCACTCCTTGAATACAGTAATCCTAAAGCTTTAGTTACTGCATGGTAAGGCTTCTTAAGTCACAGTGTATTCTTCAAGGCCGGGGCCAAAAAAAAGAGACTTCCAGACAAAAGGACGTCAGTTAACAATGACCTCTAATGAACCGAACTAGCCTACGTTTCACTTTATCTACACACGCTCGAATACTGCTCATGGCGACGCCCGGCTCGCCCAGTGACCTGCGCTTGCCACCGGCGGCCCCGGGAGTGGCAGAGTCTGCCAGGGTGGGTTCGGCGTTTGGGGGGTGGGGGAGCTCGTGTGTGTGTGTGTGTGTGTAGACAGAGACTGGAAACAGACGGCGGCCGCTGCGCGCAGTGTGGGAGCTCGTGTGTGTGTGTGTGTGTGTGTGTGTAGACAGAGACTGGAAACAGACGGTGTGTGTGTGTGTGTGTAGACAGAGACTGGAAACAGACGGGGTGTGTGTGTGTGTGCGTGTGTGTAGACAGAGACTGGAAACAGACGGCGGCCGCTGCGCGCCGTGTCCCTGGGAGGAGGAGCCAGCGGGCCCCGCCCCTGGGGGGCAGGGAGAGGTGGCCAGCAGGGGGCGTGCCCACGCAAGTCCGCGGAGCCTCGGAGCCTCCCGTGAGGACAGGAGCGGTAGGTGCGCGGGCGGGTCACCCGGAAACCCTAAAGTCTGAAGAATGGCTTGTCAAAGTAAAAGTCAAAACCGTGATAGTGTCTAAATAAATATGGAGTTTCCATGTTGTGGCCATCATCTTTTATTTAACTCAGGACCGTCTCCCTTCTGGTTCAGTACAATCACATGTTCCCGGACTTCACTTACAAGTCGCACCCCGGGAGCTGAGCAGCTGCAGCAGCGCGATCGCCCTCCCCCGAAGCACCCCGAGGGCCCCCCGTCCCGGGAAGGAGCTTGCTGTCCTGGCGGGGCTCCCTTCACGTCCGCTCTCCACGGCTTCAGGGAGGAAAGACACACTCCACACCACACACAGCTACAGGGAAACAGCCTTGTCCGTCGCAACAAGAAGACGGGTCAGAATGGGCAAAACACGTGACTGTTCTACAGAGATGCTTCCTGTGACTCTCCTTTGATGAAGACATCCCCCCTTTTTGTCCAAAAAAAAAGTGGGTGGTGAGGGCACGCCCTTCGGAGGAGCCAGTGTCCTTGGGCGGGCTGTGGGGTCAGGGGTCAGGTCCTGGGTCCAGCCTTTCAGGCTCCTCTGAACCCAGGCGGGCTGGGCGGTGCAGGCTGGGTAGGCCTAGATGTACAGCGGGGTCTCCTGGCCCGTGAGGAGCCTGAACATGGCGGCAGGCATGGTCTTCATGTGGATCTGTCAACGAGAGACAGGGGCTGAACCGGCTCTCTTGCGCTGGCCTCCCGCGGCCCCTTGATGCCACCAACACAAATCCAACACTCCGGCAGCCAGCTCGCTTCGGGACCCCCCTGAGGGTTTTCTGCCCAGTGAAGGAGGAATGACCACCTCGATGGAGGTTTAGAAAGCGTCTCCTGGCACGGCAGACTCATAGCTGGCCTCTCCTACCTGCTCTCCAGAGGGTTTTGCACACACATTCAAGTGCTAGTTTTTCCCTCAGCTCAAGCTGACAGCAGAGGGGCAAAAAACCAGACTTTTAATTGTGACTACGGTTTGCCCACTCATCTGGGAGCAGGCTGGGGGTGCCTAGGACTCTGAAACCCATTCCACAAAGCCAGGGAACGTGAGTGTTCTGGGGTCCGAGGACTTGTCCCCCCATCCTTTGGGGGTCAGCAAATGAGCCTTCGGAGCCTGGCCTCACTCTCTGGCTCCAAGGGGCTGGGTACACAAGCAGTGAGGCTCAAGATGGCTCCCCAGGGAGACTGACCTCGTGCCCCCCCCGCCACCCCGTGACGGCTCTGGGAGGAAGAGTTAAACCAGTGGAAGCACAGGAGCTGGGCTCTGCTTCTGTTGCTCTGATCTCCTCTTAGTACCCTGCTCCCAGGACTATGCCAGGCTCAGGCCTTGTGGCTCTGGGAGGTCTGGATGGCATGGGTGCGGCGGGCCTCACCCTCCCAGTGCCCAGCAAGAGGCAGCAGTGGGGAGCACGGTGTGGCCGCCCCTCCTCCAGCAAGCAGGTCTCAGGCCCCCGTCTGACCAACCCAGAGAGAGGCCAGTCGTGCAGATGGTTTTCAGTGTCACATGCTCCTGGCTTGCCCCCCTGACCAGGACCTACGTGATCAATTTAGATTTTAATGCCACCACCATCCGTGGTGAAGCATGGCTTCTTCCATCAGGGGAACATTCTGTGTCATTCCTCAACCTGAAACCCACCCCAAACCTCACATCTTGCTACCAGGGACTGATTTCCCACGTGCGCTCAGGGATGCTGGAAGACGGCAGGCAGACACTTCCATCCCCCAGCCACACCCTCGGCTGCCTCTGTGTCTCTTCGAATACCAATTCGTCTCAGGTCTGGAGACTTGGAAACATTTCTCCTCCACCTGATTGGTTTCTTTGTAGGTGTGAGGCTGATCACCCCAGTGGGGTGGCCGTTTCAAACATCCACTTAGGAAAATTGGATTTTTTTATCTTTGAAGCCATTTGTAAAAGGAGGCTAATGGCGCCTACCTGGCCCCCCTCTTCCCTCTTGAGAGCCAGCCATCTGCCACCACCAATCTCCAGAAAAACAGGCCTCCTCCCCCAGCCTGGCAGTTTCACAAAATACAGAGTAGGCCCCCAGCAAATGTGGCCAGAAGCCGCCTCGGAAACAGCACCCACCCACTCATCCAGGGGCCAAGCTCACCCCCAGTGGCTACAAGATGGAAGCCACACCCTCTCTCCCACCGCCACAGAGCCTGAGCCTGCCACTGCCCTGCTCAGCGCCCCGGGGCCCTCCATAGCCCCGAGAATCAAATGTGGACTCCCCCCACCCCGGGCACCCATGCCCTTTGCAACTGGCCCCTCGGCCGACCCACCTCTGCAGCGGCCTCAGCCTCCCGCGCTTGTCCCGGGGGGACCCTCACCCCATTCGTTCTGACTCCCCCTTCACACGCCCCCACTGCCGCTAACACCCACACACACTGGCGCTGGGGGAGGCCTCCTTCCGGACCCCGGTTCCGCAGACTCTGAGCACCTTACTTCTCACCCTGAATGACCCTGTTCACTCGTGAGTTCCTTGGGGAAAACTGTGCCCCCCTGCTCTGACCCTCGTCCACCTCAAGCTGGCATCACATGGATGCCAGAAAGAACTAGAAAAGGAGGAAGTTTAAAGCCAGCGGTGCAGGAAAGGGTGAAGCACCTCCGCGGGCAGGAAGATGGCAGGAAGCAGACAGAGGGGCGAACCCCGGCCCAGAGCCTTTTGCCCTGGGGCGGTGAGGCCTGCAGCGGGCAGGGCTCCCACAAGGAGCATGCAAGACCCAGTTCCAGAGACGGCGGCCACCACCTTCGCCCTCCTATCTGCAGCACAGAGCCCGAGTGAACAGCCAAACGCCGCCCGCCGCTCCGCTCATCCTTGTCAGCGGCACTCCCTGGCAGAGAGACACAGCCCCGCCAGCACCCCTTGGAGACAGAGTGACAGGCCGAGGTCAAGGTGGGAGCACGTGACCAGCACAGGCATGCTCCAAGTTCCCAGCAAGGGTGGGCTCTCCTGAGAAGGAAGGTTTTTCTGGGAAGGAGCCGGTGGCTTTCCCGAGCACCTCCTAGAAGCCCCCTCAGGGGCACAGATGTTGGGCACGGAAATGTAGGGCTCAGAGGGCCCTAGACTCCGGTTCAGACTCCAGCAGGGTGACGACGGGGCGTGGCCTTACCTCTCCGACCGAGTTAGAAAGAGCCTGGACTATCTTCTCATGGGCCGTGGCCACCACACTCTGCCCGTTGATCTCAATGATGCGGTGGCCGACTCGGACGCCTCCTCGCTCTGCGATGCCCCCTCGCATGAGGCTGCAGATCTAGGCAGACACGTGTCAGGTCAGCACACAAGTCCCCCCGACACCCGCCGGGAGCTCACCGCAGTCCCCAAGCGGGAAGCAGGGACATGAATCACGCTGAGGGAGAAGCCCACGGGACAAATGCTTCTACATGCAATCTGCTGACTCACCAACGGGGACGTTTATGATTTGGACTAGGTTAAAAAACACAAGTCAACAGCACGGCCTGTGGGAGAACCTTGCAGGCCCTCCGGGGATCTGCCTCCCCCCACCCCCCCACCCAGCCATCCCAGAGCCTCTGTTCCTGCGTCAGGGGGGTGGAGAGGGCTGGTGGTGTGCACAGTGGAAGCACATTCTGAAAGATTCTCCACCAGCCCCATCTGATCCTCTTACAAGCGAAGAAGTCACTGTTCCCATCTCACAAGGAGGTGATGAATTCATGAGCCGACAAACGGAAAGAGTTTGGGGAAATGATGATGAAGGCCCTGAGTTTGTGAAACCCACCCGTGGGTGGAATTCACTAAAGATCACAACATCAGAAAGGTGTGGACACCTGCCCACCTTTCTCCCACCACAACGGGGAGATGGCGGCAGACCCTAGAGGGGCGAGACTTGCTGGCTCAGGGGAGAAGGTGGGCCGGCTGCACCCCGATGGCTCTGTAGGAGGGATGCTGAAGTCCTGGAGATGCAGTGGCGGGAGCAAACAGAGAGAACACTATGTCCCTCCCCACCATGCTGCTTCCAACAACCCAGTGCAAGGGCAGAAGCAGGTCCAACAGCAGGGACCTGCGGCTGAGGCTTCCTGAGGGCCCACCCACCACCAGAGGTCTCTCCAGTCCACCCTGTCCCGGCACCTGACCCCCGGCACCTCGGCAAGCACTGGCCAGACCCCGGTGACCCCTTCCCCAGCATTAGCTCAGCAGCCCTGGAGCACCACACCCCACCAGCCATGCTGGAGAATGAGGAAGGCCCAGCCCCGAGCCAGGCATGAGCGGCCTAGGCTGGCTGGACCCTGTCCTCTGAGTGCCTGGGGGCCACCCCACATCATCTAAAGGCCTCGCCGAATTCATGGTGCCTTTGTCCTTACGGTTTCCTTAATTCGAAAACACTGCGATTATGGCTCTTGTCTCATTGAGGATTTGGTCACTTTTTAAGGCATCTTCATACTTGAAAAGGCAGGGGACCCCAACCCAGAATCAGGAAGGGTGAGTCGGGTCAGCACCCTAAGAGGCCAAGGGTCGGCCTGCCAGCAGGAGGCCCAACCACAGGTGGTGTTCGATGCAGGCAGGACAACAAAACCCTTCTGTGCACCTCACTGCTCTTCTCATTCCATGGCAAGGCTCGACATTATCCGGGACCCGCCTCTGTGCCTCATGGTGAACACCCCCCTGCCGCACCCCCTGGGACTCCTGCCTGTGTCAGAGCCACCTCGCATCTAACCCCTGGCCAGGCCTGCTCATTCAGCTGGGGCCTTTGATTTCCAAGGCTGCTGGGGGATGACGCTCCCCCTTGACAGGACGGCTCTCCCCCCTCGCCTACCCCCCCTTCCCTCCCTCAGGACCTGGCATGGCAACTTTCGAAGCCAAGATAGGCTCAGAAGGCCACTGCCCACAGGCTGACCCCGGCACCATACGCAGGATTCCCATCTGTCCTTTGTTTTGTGGATTTTTGCCTTGTCAGTGATGCCACAGGCCTTTCTCAACCAACCGTGTAGGTCCCTCTCGGCCCTCAGGGTCTCTGTCTTTCCAGTAGGAGACATGTGCAGACTGACGTCACAGTCCCAGGCCACGACTGCCCAGCCAACTAGACTCCTGCCACAGAGCGGGTCACAGTCCTGGAGCCCGAGCCCTCGGCTCAGACGGGGCTCAACCACGGGCCGGCAGAGAGAGAGAAGCAGGGTGGCCTACCTGACTGCCCCAATTCTCCATATGAGAATTAAGGAGTAACTTCTATTCCTTGTCTGCCCCCCAAACGATTTAAGGGCATTTTGTGCCCACTGTAACTGGCTCTTTGAAGGTCCCGAGGAAGCTGCTTCAGGGTGACCGGGCTCACTTCCCGGCCTGCCCAAGTGTCAGGCAGGGCCCAGTGTGCTCCCGGGCAAAGAAGCTGGGACAGTCCGTAGAAGGTGCAGGCTTGGTTACATCCCTGCTGGCAGCCTCCTCCCTCGTCATGGAGAGTCAGGGAAAGAAAGTGAAGAGGGAGCAGGACACACAGCTTTGCCCCTTTAGAGGGAATGACCAGGAGGATGGACCTGGACCCTGGCAGTGACCCCAGCTGGAATCTGGGGGGCAGGCCGGGGGAGAGGACAGAAGGGGAGCAGGACACGCTGAGGAGAAGGCTGTGTGCATGCGCACGTGTGCGCGCACACACACACGGGTCCTGGCCTTCCTGAATGAGGCATGCCCACAGGAACCAGCGTGCGTTCCAACCTCATGGGGTGCACTTCTGCGGGGGAGAAGGCTGGTGTCTCCCCGCGGGAGACATCTTGATTTCTTGAACGGTGGTGTTTTGGAAAGAGAGAGGAAGGATCCATTTAGAAATAGCGCTAACTGGGTCATCTGGGGCCTGTCTGCAAACTAATGCATTGTACTTTGGGTGTAATGGAGCTGAAAATGGAAAAAGCACTTGTGCGAGACTAACTCAGATGTCAGCAAACTTTTCCAGGGGATTCAAGGGAACTTGGCCGTGTGGCACCACACTGCTGGGAGACACAGCAGTCCCTGCAGTCTTGGTGAGAGGAGAGACGAGCAGGCCCACCACCGAGGCCATAAGCAGGGCCCCATGTACACTTACGTTGGTTACTAACGCCCTGGGCCTTAGATACTTAGATACAAACGTATCGGCCTCTGCATTGCTCGCAAGTGCTGCCAAGTCCGTGCGCATGCTCGCCCCTTGGCCCCTGGCCCTTTGTACAAGTGTCTGATGATGGGCCGTGGGAGTGTGAGCATGCTCTTCACAACGGCTGGCCTCAGGCCCGATCCCTGCTCTGCCGCTTCCCAGCTGGGAGCCTTGGGGCAAGTTCCTTGACCTCCCGGTTCCTTCGTCCTCTGTGAAATGGTAACAGAAAATGCCATTCCCTAACTGGACCAGCCTTGCAGACACCAGCTGCCCAGGGATGCCCGAGGCTTGTGTGAAGAGCTTCCCCATGGGGTGGCCTTCATTTCCTTGTTCCTAGAACTGATCGATGGACTGACACCCCAGACAGATGGACCAGGGGGCCTAGGAGTATTTGCAATGATGAAACTAGATGGACTGGAAAAACAGAAGTCCTGCACACCATGTTCACTGCAGCATGATTCACTACCATCAAGAGGCGGGGGCAACCCAATGTCCACTGATGGATGAATGGACAAATGAAATGTGGTCTAGTCACACAAGGGAATATTATTCAGCCCTGAAAAGGAATTAAATTCTGACACAGGCTACAAGGTGGATGGACCTTGAGGGCATTATGCTGGGAGTTAAATAAGGCCAGTCCCCAAAGGGCAAGTACTGTCTGATTCCACTTATGTCTATGAGGCACCTAGAGTGGTCAAGTTCAGAGAGACAGAAGGTACAATGGTGGCTGCCAGAAGCTGGGCTTGGGAGAGATGAATGGGGAGTTGGTGTTTGATGGGTGCAGAGTTTCCCTTTTGCACGATGGAAGACTTCTCAAGAGGGCTGCACAACGTACTGGACACTTGAAAATGGTTAAGATGGTAAATGTTATGTTAATTGATTTTACCACAACTGAAACAGACAAAAGAAGAAACAGATGTCTCAGGAGAGAGCTGGGTCTGAAAGAAAAGGGAGTGAGGGAGGCAGCGATCAGGAAGAAAACCGGAGGGGCTGTGCCCAGGAGCTAACGAATGCCATCTCCTAGCCAGGCGACCTGCCAACCTCCGGCCCTGCTGTGGTCAGGCGGGGTGGAGGGGCTCCCGGGAGCCAGGACTCCACGTAGGGCTTGGTGAGGGTCGAAGGGAACCTCTGAGAGCCTCACGGGCACTGGGGACAAGGAGGCCGGTGGTCATGGGCGAGGTGCCAGCCAGGGGACGCTCCACTACTGCAAGGCGGCAGGGGACCATAGGGGAGGGGACGGTTACCAGGCCAGGTCCCTCTGGGTAGGCTGGGTGGGCTGGAAGCCGAGGTCTGACCTGACCACGCTCTGAGGGAGAAGCCTTGCTCTTGTGTCCCCAGAGCAAGCCCTCGGTCAGGAAGAGCCAGCACCCTCCGGCCTTTGGAGTGTTCTCCCAAACACACTCCTCCCACTGCCACGAGGCCCCCGCTGAGCGACGGAGCCTGTGGATTTCATCAGCCGCCACAGATGCTGGGACATGGCCTGAGCAGTGGCTGTGGGCGCAGCTGCCTGGTACCAGGGCCTCCGAGCTCCCCGGGGGAGAGCCTGAGCCGTTTTCTGGGCCACTGGGGGGGATGCATCACAGCAGGAGAATCCATGCAGAATCGCTTGCTTTATCTAAAACCCTCCCTGGCGCTCTCGGGGCCAGCTGCCACATACTGGGGAGGACGTCCCAAGAACCACCGCCCCCCGCCCCGCTGCCTCTCATCCACAGTGTCGCCCCCAGGCCCCAAGCTGCACACACACCCTGGACCCGTGGCAGAGGCACCAAGAAGTGACCAGCACTCTGCGTCAGGACTCTTGTCCGGGCGTCTGAGACCCGGGAGGCGCGACCCACGCGATGCTGTCTGCAGAACCGGGTATCATTTACCCCCAGCTCCGAGCCCCCAAAGCCGAGATCTGCTGCTGCCTTTATCCCCACACCTGCCAAACCTTCCAAGAAGCGCCTCTGCCCTCCTCACTGCCCTCAGCCTCGCAGCCACTGACATGGACCGGCGTGCCCATCCCCACCTGCAGAGACCACCCCCCTTCACCTCCCCAGGACAGCCCCCTCATCAGCCACCCTACCTTCTCCCGGCCGCCTCCGACAAAGAAGGCTCATGCGTCCCCTCAGACCCCCCTGCACCTGGTCTCTCACCGCTGCTTCCCCAGGGACGGCGTCCCCACCGTCTCCTGCTTGCCTTAACTTAGCCCCGCTCCTTCCTTGTCTCTGCCCCCCGCCTTCTCTCCCCCAGTCCCAGATGGCCTCCCTGGCTGTGGGCCCTGGGGTGAGTTACTGAACCTCTGCGTGTGGCAGTCGCCTCCTCACGAGTACCCACGCTCCTCCTTGGGCCCTTGTAATTAGACAAGCCGAAGAGAGGCAGGGGTTTGGGGAGGGGGCGGCATCGGCCTTGTCCTGGGCTCACAGTCCCACACGGGAGCCTGGGAGGGCGGCACTTCTGAAGGAGCAGCATGGCTCCCAGGCAGGCCCTGGATGAGGGCTTAGCACTTCGGAGGCAGGTCAGGAGGCCCCTCCTAGTGCCTCCCTGAGCGTGGGGCCCGTGCTCATCCACACAGTGCTCACAGCTGCTGCAGCCAGAGACCCTGGGCGATTTATTTTTGCAGAGTCCCTAGGGCAGCTACTTGTGCCAAGGGCACCTACGTATGCAGCCTGGCTGGGCAGGGCAGGGCCAGGCCACACCACCACCCAGCCAGCTCCTGGGACAGATGCACTGACCTGGACAGAAGTCCCCCAGGGGATGCAGACAACCTAGCTGGGCCCCCATGCCTGGGTGCAAGTGCCAAGGGGCCTTTCTCCTCTGTAGAATCCAGGCCCCGGGGGGGCCTTCTTTAAATGTCTCCGTGTACCTTATGGATTTTCTCTGTTAATCTTCACAACCACATTTTGAGGAGAGCCCAGAGAGGTGAAGTGACCCTCTCAGGGTCACACAGCTAGGAAGGTTTGGCTAGATGCCCCCACACCCTTTCCCTCTTAGTCACAGGCACCAGATGGCCACCTTCCCAGCCTGCCCTATGTTTTGTGGGGCGTGGGACTGAGTCCTGTGTGGGCGAGTGAGCTGTGGCCAGAAATGGCAAGGGCCACACCGAGGTCCCTATCTCCCTGTAGCTGCCAGCCAGTCACAGAGTGGCTAGTGGCTCGGTGGAGCAAGGACCCCTCCCACAGTGGACTGTGACCCGAGTGAGAAACCAACTCTTAGGATGCTGAGATTTGGAGAACATTTGTCAAAGCAGCAAGGGCGCACTAACACAGAAGGGACAGAAATGGCCCTGGGACTCTCCCCAGCTCCAGGTACTTCTCCACACTTCTGTACCAGATAGCAACAGAGAAAATTTTGACTCATTTACAGTTGTCTTTCTAGACTGTTCCCCCATTGTGTCTCTTCTGTGCTCATGGGCAGGCATACATATCCCCCCCTCCCCTGACATGACTCCCACCTACTGCACCATCTCTTCCTCAGTTCTTTAATACTCAAAGCTGGCTTAAGCCATCTGGAAGTGACTGGCCTCGCCTCTTCTGTCCTCCGTCTGTGGCCACGTCTTTGCCCACTGGGACCTTTGCATGGGGGATGACCAAGGAAACAGATTCACTCCAGGCAAACACGGGTCAAAGAAAAGGCAGGAACTCTGAACGAAGAGCTTTGGCCTGAGGAACAGGCACAGATGTTTGGGCAGACCAACACTCACTCGAGTCCAGAATCACCTCCTCCTGGAAGCCCTCCTGCTTCCTCAGTGCCTACACAGTGCAGGCACCTCACGGATGGCTCTGAATGGGTGAATGAATGAGTGAATGAGTGAATATCTGTTGAACACAGAGAGTCGGATGTTGCCATTGGCCAGATGTGTCCAGACTGCAGTGGTTGGAACAGCCGTCATGGGGACAAGGGTGCTTCGAGCAGGGCTGGAAGGACCCATTCCTTGGCCACACACCAGCCCTCCGTCCCTGCCCAGGCCTGCCCCGGGAACTGCTCAAAGCTCCTGCCCAGCTGTGCCCACCCGCCAGGGCCGTGCCGTCAGACAGAAGCGGCTACAGGGGCAGGGGGGTGGAGAGCCGCATCCCACCCCACCCCGCCAGCCCCCTGCATCTAGGCCCACACATGCGCGGTGGGGGTGGCCGCAGCGGAGAGGGCAGACTCACGATCCCGTTCTGCACGCTGAAGCCCAGCTGGTACTTGAGGTCTGGCCGCTTGATGAGGACCGTGGTGACCGGCGGACAGCTGACAATGTTGAGCTTCACCTGCGTTTGGTTCTTCAGACCCTGCAGGAGGGGGCAGGCATCACAGGGAGCCGTGGATGCCACCTGCGAGCACACGCTCACAGGCCCAGACTGAGGCTGAGTCAGCGGGCAGGGCGGGAGCTCTGGGTGCAGGAGAGTGAGTCCGACGGGTCAGCCACCGCTTGGCCTCCATGTCCTTCCGTGCAACCGGTGTGCGGGGTGGCCGGCTACCCCGGGTGGGGGGGTGCTATCTGAGCCAGGGAAAACGATGAACAGCCAGAGGCCAGGCCCTGTGCACCACAGTGATGACCAATGGGACAACACCAGGGTCACCCGCAAAGGGTCATGGGAGGGGCCCTCCCCACGCTGGATGCGGGAGGAGCACCTTCTGTCTGGAAGGACCACGGGGAAGCCTTCCTCAAAATAAAATGTGCTAATGGCAGGGGTGGGGACGGGGAGCAAGGGGCTCAATGAAAATCTGTAAGCAAGAGGATCTAGTGTCCTTAGCAAGCCTGAGCCAACTGGAGCCAAAGCAACCTCAGGGCGACCTGTGACTGTCAGCGGGCGCCCCAGGCCACGGTTGTGAGGTGAGGTCCAGGCAGACCAAGCCTCTGGTACCGCGGGCTGAGGCCTTTGCCGTGTCTACCGTCCAGCTTCTCAGGTGGTCACCCGTCAGGCAGATGCTCTGCTGGGCTGGCTCTGGCCCCGAGAATGCCCTTCACCCATCAGGCTGACGGGGACAAGGGTGCTTCGAGCAGGGCTGGAGGGACCCATTCCTTGGCCACACACCAGCCCTCCCTCCCTGGCCAGGCCTGCCCCGGGAACTGCTCAAAGCTCCTGCCCAGCTGTGCCCACCCGCCAGGGCCTGTGCCGTCAGACAGAAGCGGCTACAGGGGCAGGGGGGTGGAGAGCCGCATCCCACCCCACCCCGCCAGCCCCCTGCATCCAGGCCCACACATGCACGGTGGAGGTGGCCGAGGCGGAGAGGGCAGGACACGCCTGTGTCCTCTGGCACCAAGACCACAGCGGGGGAGGAGGGAACAAGCCACAGGGGGGGTGGGGGCAGAATGCAGACAGAAGACCCCAGGGCGGCCCCCAAGCAAGCAGAGCCCATTGTCTGGAGACCCTGGACAGAGCAAAGGCACAGATGGTCAGAGCGGCCTCCCTGCTCTCAGACCCATGCAGGGGGCCCACCCCTCCCCGTGTGCCCAGGAAATGGGACTCTCGGTGCTAACCTGTGAAATTCCCATGCATACCGGGTCACCCTACATCTGGGGGTCCTCAGCCCTTGCCTGGGGTCTATGTCCCTCAGAACTGGCATCAGTGAAACCAAACGTCCCCTTCTTACCCCCAAGGGCAGCCCGGGTCCTGCTCTGATTTCAGTGCTATGGTATGGTCTCGGGTCTCTCTGGACCTGTTTCCTCACGTGTCAAGGGGGAAAAGACAAGGCAGCGAGAATTAAACAAGGCAGGGGCCCCGCGTGCGCACCTTGATGATGCCCTGGCAGGTGGCGAGGGGCAGCCCCACCAGGCTGGTGCCGTTGATGGACATGATCTGGTCCCCGATGCTCAGCTTCCCCGAGCGGGCTGCCGGGCCGCCGTTCATCATGTTTGCCAGGATCACCGTGGGCAGGATGGAGCCCCAGCCTGACTCCACCACCACCACGCCCAGGATCTCGCCCTTGTGCTTCTCCAGCTGCAGCTGTAAGGAAATGAGCAGTGAGAGGGGCCCGTGATGGGGGCCGGGGGCCTGCGCGCCTACCCCCTGGCCTCGCCCAGCTCTGGCTCCCAAGCTGGAACCAGGACCACAGACCCCCTCCCGCCCGTGCCCAGCATGGACCCCTCCAGGCCCCAGCACAGCGGCTACATCGTCCTAGCTCCTGCTGTTCTCACCTCCCACAAACCCATGGAAGCGAGAAGAATGTTAGACTCCAGGGCTCACATCTGCCCCCAGCTTTTGCTCCTATCTAGAAGAGTCCTACCTTCTATCCACCCCAAGGGTCACTCTCTCAGAAAGCTGCCTGTCATTCATTCAGCAAGAAGCCACGCATATTCATTCATTCATTCATTCATTCATTCATTCAACAAGCAGTCTGATTATTCCTTCATTCAGTTCTTTACAAGCAGTCAGGGTATGGGTCATCTGCAGGGTATGTGCTCCCGTGTCTTAGGAGGACTTTCTGCAGATCCCTGAGCAGCACACACTGGGCCGTGCTCAGGCCTCCACCTCTGGGAGCTTTGAAACTCCCCTGAGCAGCACACCCAAGTCCCCTGTTCCGAAGACGCTTCTCAAATGCTTTCCAGAAACACCTCCTGGGTGCTGAGCTCCAGTAGATGATAATAGTGGCATTAAAAGGCACATTTTCAAGGTCATTAAGACTGATCGTAATCAGCTCCTTTGTTAGAACACCACCTCATTTCACACCCCAGTGCTCAGCTCTGAAGGCAGGAGCAAACGTACATTCGGGGCAGCATGTCACTCCGCCGTGAGGACAGGGATTTGCGCGAGGGCCCTTCGAGGGCTCGCTCTCGCGTCCTCTCCCAGGGAGCTGCTCGGGGGCATCGCTGGGCGGCTCCGGTCTGCGGGGGCTCAGCGTGGGCGGCAGGGGCCACTGCAGCGTGACATCCCGCGCGTGGCTCACCTCCTTGCAGTTCTCGGAGTTGGAGAAGTGGATGAGGTCATCGTTGTACATCTCCTGGGTGTTGATGATGTCGCTGTACTCCTTCTGGCTCAGGTCTTCGGGGTTGATGCCGTTGGCGCGCAGGAACTCCTGGTAGGCCACGCTGAAGGCCTGGCCGATGGACTGTGCAATCAGCTGGGCCTGTGGGCAGGGAGAAGCCCACTCGGGACCAGCACAGAACCACAGGCGTGCCATGCAGCCCAGAGAGGAGGGGCCGTGGCTGGGCTGGGCGCAGGGTGCACACGTAAGTCTGCAGTGGGCCCTTGCCCAGGCTTAAAGGAACAAGAGAGAAACTGTAGAGTCTCCTCTGGTGATAGCTGTCTTGCCGCCAACACCCCACGGTCGGCCGTGGGGTGAGCCTCTCTGCTGCTTTGTACCCGGCAGGGACCGGTCCTGACTGCTCCCGCCAGAGCTGTTTCCATCCCCGACCATCCAGGACAAAGCGCAGTTTCAAATAAAGTCTGGGAAAATTATGAATTGTTTGCTAAATATCCTATCTTTGTTGTTTTAACTGGTGACTGCACTATATTTTCTTTCCACCCATCTTACTCCAAAAGTAGACTTGAGGTGTGTTCTCAGAGGAGGGTCACAGAGACTCTTAGTTGTCTCCTTCACATTTATGTCTCATTAGCAACAGAACCCAGTGTCAACTGGGGAGGCAGAGTGTGTGTCCATCTGTTTTTGTGGGGGGAGGGTGGCTGTTCCAGGCTGAGGCTGATGAGAAGCACAAGACCTGGAGACACCAGCACAGACCCCACAGAGCATAGCACCTCTTTCCACTACAGGGAACCACTTGTGTGCACGTTACTGAATCTCCGACACTGCAGAGTCCTGGACATTGAAAAGTCACTGCCAGGCTTTGCCTGTCACCAGCCAGTGTGCAGACAGGGGACGGCTGAGGGGCAAGAGCTAAAGTCCCGAGCTCCCGGAAGGACACCAAGCACTCTGGCAAGCATGTAGCCCTGGAGAGCAACAGGGCTCCCAGGGGCCTGGCCCCCAGCAGGGCCTCCTCCCCACCCAGCCCTGACTGCGGGAGCCCCGGGGCTGCTCTACCGCCTGCCGCCACCTGCCTCCCAACAGCCATCAAAGGGGCCTTCTGCATGGGCACCCCCTGCAAACCTCAGGAGCAGAAAAAGGTAAAACCAAGGACATGACCTAAATGCCTAAATCCCTTCCTCCCTCTACACACTGCATGCTTTAAGTGCTACAAATGAGTATGTCTTTGTACCAAAGCGGGCTGGGCCGGATAATAAAGGCAGAGCCGGAGTGTGGAAGGCTTTCCCAAAATAGGTACGGACTCTGATTGAACTGCCCTCCCACACTGGGTCCGGAAGAGTTTACAGGAAGGACAAGCCGATGTTCACTTGGTAGGAATAAGCCCTGCTCACTCCCAAGACCAGCATTTTGGCATTTTGGCCGTGCCACTTAGGGTGGATTGGCCAGAGCTGTGGTGCCCAGAGGCCACTGCGAGATACCCCGGCCTGGACACGTGTGGACTGGAGGGTGGGGAGCCCAAGGTGGTGCACTGAGGAGCAGCAGAGCAGTAGCCAGGGCCCTGGCTGAAGCTGGGAGTCAGGCCTTGGGAAGAGGCCGGAAGAGGGCAGGGGCAGGGGATGGGAACCCAGGACCTGCCCTGCCCCAGTCCCAAAGCTTGTCGGGTCTGTCCCCAGCTGACTGTGGTCCCCTGACAGGGAGGGGTTCTGAGAGCATCGCTCCCTTCACCCCTGCACAGATAGCCTGGCGGTGCTGCCCGATGCCCTGGGACTCTGCCTGGGGTTCTGCCTGGGCACCCCACCCCAACCCATAGGAGCTCCTGGGGACAGTGAGGCCGTTCATGCCTGGGTTCCTTGGGGTGCAATCCAGGAGCCCTTGGCATCTCCCCCGCAACTGCTGGTGACGGTCTTCCATTTCCCCATCCGCCCTGTGTCCTGGTGTCCCTTCCAGCTGGCCTGGGGGACACACACTGGCAGCCCTGCAGACAAGGGGGCTCCCCTGCCCCCCAGCTCACAGCCAGGGCCTGTGGGTGTTCAGTGCTGTGAGGCCAGGAGCCCCGCGCAGGCAGGGGGGAAGCGCAGAGGGCTCGGAGAGGGGCGGGCATTGGCAGCTTGGCCCTCAGAGGCGGCCTCCTGCAGGAGGCAGGGAAAGGCAGCTGCCATACCCCAGCACTGCTTTGCCTCAGCACTTTTGCCCGTGTGGCTCAACTACCCTGGCCTCAGCCCGGCAGTGCCTGAGCTCCATTTTATAGAGGGAAACTGAGTCTCAGAAAGAGCCACTGCTATCCTTAATAACACCTTCCGTTTTCCCCGGGTGTTCCGTCTGCTGTCACCAGACCCTCGGATCCCTTACTCACCCCCAGCAGACCCCTGGACGGAGCCACCATCCAGGTCCTATGCTCTGGGCAGCTTCTGAGTGTCCCCCCACTCTGTACCCCAGCGGGTGGGTCCTTCCCTCACTTGTTCAAGGGCCACTCCGAGTCCCACTCACACCCACCTCCGCTGGCCCTCAGCCTTATCTCCCCCTGCACAGAGAACAGGGGGGCCGCAGCAGCAGCCCCAGACAGCGGCACCCCTGACTCTAGCCCTCGGCCCACAGCCATCCACAGGGGCTGGTACCCTTGGCCACTGGCCTTACGCTGCCCATCACTCACAGCCCTTCCCGAGGGCCCATCGCCCCCACCCCCCGGTCTCTAAGTCATCCTCAAGCCCTGAGTCACACGGAAGTGCCCATCCAGGTGCCCACGGAGATCTGGATCGTGGGGGAAAGAATCTGTGTGTGCACAGCACACACTCTCTTCTCCCATCAATATACCATCGCTTCAAAGCACTTCTAGATGACTTCAACTTCTTAGCAAAAGGATGACTACCTCCATCCCTCAGCCCTGCCTTCAAATATAAAAATCTGGGGGCCATTCCCTTCTGCTTCAGGTGCCTGCCCTGCAAGTCCATATGTGAACAAGAATGCCCCTTTCCAAGGATTCGTGGAGAAGCGATGGGTTTTCAAAATTCTACTTTGGCAACACCCGCAAGATCCGCCTGCCAGGGGGCAGCAGAGAGACCTGGCCCACTGTCCCCCGTGCTCACCCCTCGGCCCCCTGCTCCCTTCTCTGGTCTCCTTCTCCCAATTCCAGGCTCAGAAAGATGCTCTCATCCCACTGAAGGAAAGAGTCAAAGGGCTCATGGTCTCTTAGCGAGTCTGGACTATTTTAAATGCCAACATGAAATGGCCATGAGCAAAAGCAGAGCTGTTTCTAGAGCACAGACGTTGCCTCCTTGTGCACAAGCCTGGCGTGTGAAAATGTGCATCTTAACCACAGAAAAGTCAGGGAGTAATTTGTTCTAGGAGAAAAAGATTGTGTTAAAGGATTTCTTCAGATAGCGCCCCTGGCCTATTTAACTACGGTTCAATTTATGAACAGCCCTGAAGGACGTATTTCATGAAGTGAAGTAAAACTACATTCACTATCTCTGCAAACTCGAGTGTTAGAAGAAAACCCCACTGATTCCACTGGAAACATCCATGATGGTGCACAGGATTTCTACCTGAGACATGGTTTCCAAAGAGCCTGGGATGCCGCCGGAGCCCTGGTGAAGTCGGGGCCGTTGGGAGGGGTGCGGCAGGCCTGCGTGGTTACTTACGTCCTCAGACTCGAACACGTGGCAGATCATCTTGTACTGCTTCTTCCCCTCTTGGGCCCCAGGGGTGGTCTCGATGCAGTCCTGAGAGGCCGACCGGGGCATGCGGCGCCTGGCCATCAGCACCACGATGTTCCCAATGTCCGCGATGTAGGAGATGGTACGCAAGGCGTGGTCCATCATGGTCTCCTGTCAGGAGTGGGGCGGATCCAGGTTAGGAAACATTAGGGAGAACAAGCCGTCAAAAAACACTCAAGTCCGGGATTTCTTGGCCTTGACACTAATGACCTTTGGGGGGGTCTTTCTTGTGAAGGTTTGTTCCATACACTGTAGGATTGTTAGCCGCATCTCTGGCCTCAACCCAGTAGGTGTCAGTAGCCATCACCCCCTTCCCAAGTTGTGACCACCAACAGAATTTCCAGCCTTTGCCAAATGTCCTCATGGGGGACAACAGCACCCTGGTTGAGAATCACTGCTCCAGGGAACAGAGCGTTTGAGGGCAGTGATGCACAGCCAAGGTGAATCTGCCTTTGCCCCACAGCACCCTCCCGCTGCTTCTTGGAGGCACGACATCAGGGGGAGCTCTTGGTCCCTGCTGGAGGAAGAGTGGGGAGGCTGTCACTGGGTGAAGCCTGTCCCCACCTGATCAGAGGCGGTCTGTGGCTCTGGAGAAGGGTCCCTTCCCTGCAAGGCACGTGCTTCTCCCTAGCAGATGAGGAAGGCTCTGAGGCCAAAGTTTTCCGCAGATGAGTTCTTCCCAGGGAGCCCAAGCAGTGCAGGCCCCGGTCAGGGGACACTGAGGCAGCTCCCCTGACTGACGGATGGGTCTCTGTGGCCATTCAATTCCCTCAGCTCCTGGCAGGTCCATTACTCTTGATGGCTTTTGTCGTCTGACAGGAATCTCCACAGAGCGTCGTCAGCATGACCCCTACCTAACAAGGCTGCACACAAAGGCTCTGAGAAACTCATCAGTTAGTCTTTTATTGCCTTTGTGCTTTTTCCACAAAAGAAAAATTGGCTGCTTCTGCAACCTCGGAAGGCCCTTTTCTTCCTCACAGAATCCATTTTTACAGCAGATATTACCCCACGTCTGTCTTCCAGGAGCTGATTTGTTTCCTGGCCAAGGCTAGGGGGGTGGTTTCAAACCACAAGAGCCACTTTTCAGGAGGGGGGGACCAGACAGGGAACTGTCGAGGGTGGCTCTTCAGCATTTCCTGATTTCTGGCCACATGCCCCGGGCACAGCCATCGTCCTCGCAGACAGAGGTACAAGTAGGAATGCTGGGCTTTATTTTAAAATAGATTTACTCTCTAGCTCTGTTCGTTGCAAGGGCCCAGGAACAAGGAGACCCCTGCGACGGTGAACACGGCCAGCACCCAGGTCTTTGTTTCTGTAATATCATTCCCCACGAAAAGGAACTGTGTGTGGCTCCTCGAAGAAACGGCTGATTCCAGGTCTGGGGCAGGGGAAGCGTAAGGGGAGCTCGGAATGCCTCACTACCTCAGAAAGCAAGGACGTGATCAGTGACTAAAGGGGAGCTGTCAAAGCCACACAGGACCCAGTTTAAAGGTCTCTGGCCGAATTGGGGATCACCAGAGCACCAAAAAGAATAACAAGGATAATAATTAAAACACAAGTTAAAAAAAAAACTCATCGGTCCACAGTGAAGAGAGAGAGAAAGAAACAAAAAGTCTTCTGCACAGGGAGAGGTCCAATAATAAAAGTGGAGAGCGTGACATAATTAGGAAATGCACCATTTTTGCACTTCTGGTGTTGGAACCAACTCAAGCAAGATGATCACTGGGTGCCAAAACCTGCAGGCAAAATGGGTATTGGGGAACAGGGTCCCCACACATCTGGAGTGTCAGCACACAGATTACTTGCTGATGACAAAGAAGCAAAGGGGTCATTACCCTGGTATCTGGCCATCCTCTGTCCTCCAACAGGCCCAGGAATGGAGGTCCGACCCCAGGGACAGCGGGGCCTCCCTCTCCCTCAGCAAACCTCAAGGACACAGCACCGCCTGAGGCCTTCCCGACCCCTCCCTCCCTCTGGCCCATGCCCCTGGCCTCCTGCCCTCTTTCTCCTCGGCTCACTTGTTCCTCACAGATCTGTCTTCTCCACCAACAGCAGTGATGAAGGCCCAGGAAAAATGAGCAGAACCTGACCACAGCACAGGGTTCACAGGTAGAAAATCTTAAGACAGCCGCCCCCCACCCCCCCGCTGGAACACCACCCACTCAGAGGGCCCAGGGCTCACACGGCATTTCCACCCTCCCGCTCGATTCCCCAGGCCTGTCATGCACAGGTTTCAGGAAGGCCCTTCTAGAATGCTGATGGTGAGCACACAGCTTCCGACTCCCTGCTCCTTCCCCTTCATTTTGCCTACTTAATCCCAGCTGCAGCACACCTACACGCAGGCTTTTCTCTTCCTAGCCTGGTGCTCCTCGGCCCCCTGCAGCTCCCTCTAGATTCCACAACCACAACTCATTCAAGACCCGGGGTCCGGAGCAACTGTCCTGGCGGACAGCCCTTCAGCTCATTCCCAGAGGGAAAGTTCTCCCGCAGCTAGACCTCGTTCTGCTCTAGTCCCTGAGGTGGGAAGTTAGGGGTTTAAGTACATGATTTTAAACAACGGTCTTTAAAACGCTTACCTGTGTGTCTGCATTTAACACCTTGATCCTCTGGGTGGAGATGAAAAGATCCACTTCGGTCAGAGTCTGGGCATCCCCCTCCGAATTCTAAGAAAGGACAGTAGATACTGTTACAAATAAAATAAATAAATAAATAAATAAATAAATAAAAACTAACTTGAACAAAGGCCTGACAATTTTACTAATGACCCTGAGCGCCCCTAGAGGGAAATGCTACTCCAGCTTGGAGCAGCCATGGGAAATCTAAATTGCATGCCGCCTTCCAGCGCAATCCGTAGCGAAGTGAGTTCTAAAGGCAGTTTGCACAGGGCGTGAAGAAGGAGGGAGGAGACAGCTTCCGGAAGCCTGAGCATGGAGGGGGGCCGGACGCCTGGGGTCTTGGGTCCCAGCATCCAAAGCGCAGCCCCTCCACTCCCTAAAAAGTAGGCCTGCCTGCCAACCCTTATCAAACTCAGCAAAGGCACAGGATCTGTGTACTCGGGCTACATAGGTTTCCGGGATTTGGGATTCCAAATATCCCCAGGAAATGGGGAAGGAATTTTCAAAGAGGATGGATTAGATCGTCAGCCTCTTCTTCTGATTTAAATAGTCCTAGTTATGTCAACCCCCCAGCAGGCTTAATGCTGATCTTCCAAAAACCCTAAGGGAAGCAAGACCCCAACAGGACTCAGTGCTGCCCTCCCAGCAACATGGGAAAAACCAGAAGAAGCTGTCACACAAATGCTCCTGTTTTGTCAGCTCCTGGAGTGTGTTCATTCCATGGCCATTACTTATGTGTCCATGGAATGTTCTAGAAGCTCAGTGAACTATGTATTCAGGGTCTGCTCTAAACCAGGACAGCTTTTCATTGCTTTTTACCACCATGGGAATCCTAATTACTACTGCACAGTGGTAATGAAATACAAATTCTTCCGGTTTACCCACTGAGGTAAGAAATTCTTTATGGTCACTGGGAGCCCACAGTGGCATGTCTTCCACTTCAAAAGAGGAGAAACTGTGATTTAATTCCTCGCTAAAGAATCTGAAATCTAAAAATCCCCCCACTGACAATTCCTCAAGAAATCGGAGTCGCAGAGAGGCCCTGTATAATATTGATAAATTTGTATTGCAGCTCAGTTTTCAAGAGAAAAGGTCTTTGGGGCTTTCAGCCCACCATGAGGTGACACTGTTTTTAACTGATTTTAAAAGAGAAGAGAGTTCAAAATTACCCAGTTGAAAACAGTCTGCAGGAACATAGAGGAACTACTTTTTCTCTGATTTGAAAAACCGGGTCATAGTGTATGCCCACAAGCTTTTAAACGTTATATATTACGGGATTGTTTCTCAAAACCCTCTTGCTTGAGAAAGTAGGTTGGGCCAGAAGCAAAAAAAAAAAAAAAAGGAAAGAAAGTTGCAGGTGAACTTGGTTTTCGTGACAGTTTCTGGAGGAAACTCGAGGCCTGTGCACTTAATGAGAGAAGAGTGACAAACGTGAAGCTGAGCGGGCTCAAACTGGGGGTGAACAGATGAAGCCAAAACATGATTGGCAACAGGGAACAGCAAAGCTCGCCCCGTGATATGCTCTGCTGGAAGAAAGGGAGAATGTCAATAGCAGGAATCCAACAGAGGGCCACCAGGCAACAGGGTGGGCATGTCTGTGGATGGGGGGGGCCATGACCCCATAGTCACCAACCAGCAGGTTAGCTGTGCGGGGGACACTGCTTCCTCCTGGTCCCAGACTCGTGAAGCACCCTCCTCTCAGCACTTGCCTGGCCAGATGTGAGCAGACCAGAAAAGGGACCCTTAGCAACGATCCTGAACATCTCCTTGCCTGCAGGGAAGAACAGCTCTCCAGGTTTACAGCAGGTTGCAGAGGCTGTTCCGAGCTGGATGCACCCGCTCCGGGCCCCTCTGGGCTCCCCCAGTGGCAGACCAAGGACCAGGCTGCGGTGTACAACAGAGCCCCGCTCCAGCTGCCTGGTGCTTGCGCAGCCCAGGGGTGCCCTGGGCAAACTGCAGGCTAGGCGCCCCTCTCCTCTGGGGGGAAGCCTACCCCAACCACAGCTCTGCAAAGCCAGGTCCATCTACACTGCCTGGCAGCGCCAAGCAGAAAGCTCACTGGGCAGAGGGAGATGGGTGAGCTCCTTCCTCTCCTACAGCTCAAGGAATCCAAGGAGACACCACTGGGCAAAAAGCAAATGTCACAGGGAGAGAAGTCTCACCGCAGGAGGAAGGGAGAACCCAGACAGGCTCCTGTGGCCACGCAGACAGAAAATGGTGTTCTACGTAGGGAATGGAGGACTAAATCTCTTGCCATTTAAGCAACAAGCCTGCACTAAATCAGTGCCTTCTGACCCTGAGCATTTGAGATTTCCTGTATTGGGAGGACCCAGCATTTACTAAATGACCAGGTTTACAAACAAATGACTGGAGGTCAACTTGATTTTTTTTTAATGTTGGCTCATGCTGCAAAAACTCTTTCCCCTGCTCTTTTTCTTTTTTTTTTTTAAAGTATGCTCCACACTGGGCATGGAGCCCAATGCAGGGCTTCAACTCACGAGCCTGAGAGCAAGACCTGAGCTGAAATCAAGAGTCAGATGCTTGGGGCGCCTGGGTGGCTCAGTCGTTAAGCGTCTGCCTTCAGCTCAGGTCATGATCCCAGGGTCCTGGGATCGAGCCCCGCATCGGGCTCCCTGCTCCACGGGAAGCCTGCTTCTCCCTCTCCCACTCCCCCTGCTTGTGTTCCCTCTCTCACTGTCTCTTTCTCTGTCAAAAAATAAAAAAAAAAACCTAAAAAAAAAAAAAAAAAGAGTCAGATGCTTAACCGACTGAGCCACCCAGGCGCCCTGCAGCAACTCTTTCCAGTGGGGAACGCATCTCACGGGCAAACTGACCTTCTCACCATCATCCTGATTTAGTAAATTAAGCTTAATGAGTCTTTAAATATCAGAACAATTTAATTAATTTTGTACAGGAGGCCTAAGTGCTAAATGCGTCACATGATCATATCAAATGTCACCTGTAAAAACGTCTGCGTGAAACAGTGACATCGTGGCATTAACCACGTTCTAGCACAGGAGAGACTAAACAAGAAATTATAAAAAGGGCAATGATGAGATTCTTCTGTAAGTGGGTGGTTAAAAATTTAAAAACTTGTCTATGGTTTTGTTCAGAAGTCTATCTACCCAGGGAAGAGGAAAAAGCTGTTTGCCGCATGATGTATGTTCCTACAAACAGGACCCCCCCAAACGGCACAGAATGAGGCCCAGAAACCCAGGCAAACCCCTCAGCACTACACACCGCTTTTTTCTTGATTTTAGCAGCCTTTTGCATCCTCTGAGCAGCATGTAAGAGAAAAGAAAAACGGATAAAGGAAGAAAGAAAGGAAGAGAAAGAAGGGCGGCCAAATTATTTCGGTCTTGTGGTCAACACCCTGGGACTTCGACCTTGTGCTCAGGGGAAGCGCCCCCGCAGGGGTAGGCTGAGTGGGTGGCCGCCACATCAGCGAGCACACACCCTGACCATGAGAAGTCCCCACACGTGTCCCTCGAGCGCTGGGAATCACCAACCACCCCCCAGATCCGCGAGGGCGAGACGGGACGGCCGGATGGAGCAAGGCCACCGGCCTATGGAGGAGAACGGGGCTTTCAGGCAGAGGAGCAGGACTGGGTGTGGGGCAGGAGGGCCCTGGGCTCTGCGCTTCTCTTCTCCTGGCTGCCATGGGCTCATGCCCCAGGCCCCTGTGCCTCCATAAAGGAGGTCAGTGCACAGTGAGGACAGAGGAGGGGCCTGACATGGTTTCTCAGCCCGAGGGGCTGGCAGCATCCACAGACCCCCTCCTGCCTAGAGGGGCCACATCCGCGAACCACCCTGCCCTTCTCTCTGGACCCCATTAGCTTTGCCGACTTGGCCTCATCGCCCCCCTGCTCGGCTGCACCCACTGTTCACAACCAGGCAATTCCGTGTCTAGCCAGCACAGCAAGCATGTCGGAGTGTTTCTTGAGGTCATGAATTTAATTGACACATGGGATTTGTTTCCCGTTCTGCAAGCACTTTGGTGCCGAAGACACACATACCACCAAAATGGGACTTGAGGCTCCAGCCCAACATGTTTTATGAGTGGAATGCTGTGGACCAATCGCCTTTAAAAATCATACTCCCACCGGCCAGGTGGTGGTTCCTCATGAAGGAGCCAACTGCCCCCGCCCCCGACCCCGGCATTCTTCCAGACAGGCCAAAGTCGCCCTTGGCCTCGCCAGGCGCCTCAGGCCTTCCTGCTCTCCGTGCTGAGGGCTGTGGGGTCACCAACCCCACTCCAGTGCCCCCTCCCCCAAAGTGAACCAGGGCTCTGCTAAGCCCACCAGTACCTTGACCCGGCTGACGGCTTCCTGAGCCTGCATCATCCTGATGTTTTTGGAAGGGTTACGTTCTGAGAGCAGCTGGGTGGACCCCAGGTAGTTGGCAGCAAAGATGATCCCATCAATGAGGTCTTCTGGTTCACAGGGACCTGGAACTGATGAGGGCACAGTTAGCATCCTTCCAGAGGACAAAGGAACAAGGCCGCAGGGGCAGGGACAAAGGCATCGCCCATCTGCAGCCAACAGAGGGAGGCCAGTCTCCTTCCCTCATCCCGCACAGCGTACAGTGTGAGGAACTATGCAAAATCAACACCCAGGCCAGAAAAGTCCATGTGCATGGCTCAGGAGGATAGTTCCAGGGCCTCGGGCCGTTGTCACTCAGGGCACCTCAGCCTCCAGGAAGGTGACAACCATATGCTGCAATCCCAGAGATGCACTTTCCCAAACCGGACAGCATTTCCGTGCCTGCCCCAGAGCCCTCTGGGACTCAGGACAGGGAGCAGAAACTGCCCACTACCCTCTAGTTCTTCTGGGGCCTTCTCTTCCATTTTTGTACTGTAGGGCTCTGGTCCTGTCACATGCCCGCCTGGGTGGGTCCCCACATCCCATATACCCTCATCCCATACGCCACTGGGTAACATGGTCCTTGCTTCCCCTGCTGCTTCTAGACCAGTGCTGTCAATGGAACTTTCTGCCATGAGGTAGAACGTTCTAGCTTGGTGCTGTTTAATACGGGAACCACTAGCCACGTGTGGCTTTGGAGTACTTGAACTGGGGCTACTGCAAGAGGAAATCTTTAAAATTTATGCAATCTAATTAATTTACAGAGAAATAGCCACACGTGGCTAGTGGCTCCTGCCCTGGACAGGCAGCTGTAGGTAAGGTCGGCAAACCCTTTCCGCCAGGGGCTAGATGGCAAATATCTTAGGCTTTGCAGTCTGTGTGCAACCAGTCACCTCTGCATCCGGAGGACAAAAGCAGGCCCAGGCCATCTGTCTATAAGCAGGCACGGCTGTGCTCTGGGAAAACCTCATGCACGGACCCGGGTGGCTGGGAGAATTTGGCCCTGGGTCCATAGTCTATAACCTGTAGACCATCACTCAGCCTTCCTTTCCGTGTCACTGCCTTCTTCCCTCTCCCTGCCCGCCCCTCGGCCAGACCCTTCGTTCTGAGGGACCTTGGCTCTGGCTCTCAGGCTCCCCCTCACTCCAGGGTCCACAGGGCTGGCTGTCCTGTGGCTGCCTGGTCCCCATGACCAGCAGTCCCCTCTGGACACCCCCCCCTCATCTAGCTGTTCCCTGTTCTCCCCTCTGACCCACTCTGCTGCTAAAGGCATCAACTTGCCTAGTCTGGATGCTGCTGTCCACCAGTCCCATAACATCTGCCCAACACCCTCGACCCCCGGCCCCAACTGTCGGCCCCAGGGCCTCGGCACAACTCCAACCACCTGTTACCTGCGGGCCTGCAGCTGGAAAGAGCCAGAACCCCCCAAAAAGGCAGACTGGTTCCATTCCAAATTCAAGGACCAAAATGCCCTCAAAACTTGCTGGTGACCCCGAAAGATGCCCCTGAGAAGTGTCCCCTCTCCCTCTGGGCAAGCACCATTTCATACCTTCCCCCATCTCCTCGAACCTCCAGCTGCCCCTCCCTTGGCTGTACTCGACAGAGCATCACCTCCGCTCCCCGTGTGGTGGGTTACCTGTGACCCCACCCCTCTCTGAACCAAGTCCTATATCAGCTGCGTCTTCCTACAGCTTTTAAATATCCTCCCGTGTCCCCAGGCGGGTTCAAAAGCCTCCCTCCCCACATCCCCACCTCCTGTGGACCCCCTCCCTCCTCCCTCTGGAGGACAAATGTCTAGAAAGAACTGCCTGTTTGGCTTGCACCCATTCCTCAGCATGTCCCCGCCTGGCCGCTACCTCCCCGCTCCAACACCACCGAAGTGAACGCTACGTGCGACCTCCGTACCCTCACGTCGGGAGGCCTGTGGTCATCATCTCCTCCTCCCTTTCTGGCTGTTCCTTCTCAGCTCCCTGCAGGCTCATCCTCCTCCATGAGGCCATGGAATGTAGGCATCCTGCGGACTCCATGCTGGCAAAGGACACTGTAGCTCTCTGAACCCCAACCCCACATACTCAACAGCCTACTTGCTGGCTCCCTGGGATGGCCCCCTCTCGACATGCCCAAAGCAAAGCTCCATCCGGGCACTGAGCCCAGTTCCTCGTCTCAGACCCCACCCCCATCCCAGGTACACAGGCCTTCACCCCCGTATTCAGCCCATCCCCGAGGGCTGTCCCTCTGCTTTGCCACCAAACCTATCCCGAGTGTGTCTCTGTCCAGTTCTGCCACCACCACCACCTCCTTCCATTCTGGACCCGAGGATGGCCTTCGACTAGCCCGTGTGAACTGCAATGGACTGCCTGTGTCCCTCCAAAATCCCTATGTGGAAGCCCTAACCCCCCATGGGATGGTATTAGAAGTATGACCTCTGAGAGGTGAGGTGGGGGGTCAGGAGGGTAGAGCCCTCAGGAATGGGATCTGTGCCCTCATAAAAGGGACCCCAGAGAGCAACCTTGCCTGCTTTCTGTCACATGTGGACACAGAAAGAAGGCGGCCGTCTGTCACCTGGAAGGGGGCTCACGCCAGAACTCGACCACATGAGTACCCTGATCTGGGACTTCCATCCTCCGCTGTTTATACACCCCCAGCCTCTGGTGCTTCGTTAGAGCAGCAAGACTAAGACCTGAACCTTCTACCCACAGACTACTCCCCATGCTGCCACGGGAGGGTCTTTCTAGAAATCTGATCTTTTTGGCCCCCCTGCTCTAAACGGCATGGGGCCTCTCATTGTTTCAGGTGAGAGGCAGGAGTCCCTGAGCCCCCAAACACAGTGTTCCCATTCAGGGGTACGCACATGTGAGGGGACAAGGGCAGTTTTGCTGGGCTCTGTCATCCGGACGTCAGCAGACCCCCAGGGACTGGGGCCCCAGCTCCGGCCCGCATGCCCACCCGAGGCTGCTCGGGCACCGGGGGCTCAGTGAGCGGCCCACCATGAGCAGACTGTCACCCCAAGAAGTGAACGCACAGCCTCCCTGACACCTGGTCACCCCTGGATTCAGGGCAGGTTTTCTGAATTACTCTCTGAAATTTTAGTTCTCTTCAAACCACAGGAGAAAATGGCCCAAGGTGAGATGCCTGGGAGGGGACCTGTGCTTTAGGCTTTCACAGGAACAAGCCTCAGCCCTGTGGACTTTCCAGTAAAGTTCCGAAATTGGTCATAGCATGTGTCCATTAGCCTCGGCTGTCTGCCTGAAGACCCCTCCCCAGGGGCTCACACGTCAGACTTGCACCCGGGGGTCTACTCCCGTCTCTTTCACGCCAGCACCACAGCTTCTGCACTAAAGCCAATTTTATAAAGTGCTTCAGAACAGGTCAAGTATTCTGAAGTTTGAAAGGAATCCATTAGTAATAACGGGCCCCAGCAGGTCCCAACTTAGGAATGCCCCGGGTCATGCCCCATGGAAGGTGTGGGGGGTCCTCCCATCATGACACCACTGCCCTGGGGACCCCCTCCCTTTCTCCCCACTGACCCTGACAGCCTCCCCAAGCAGCACCCAAGAGGAAGTACCCCTTCCTCTTGGGTGCTCAGGTGGTTTGCTCCAGGGATCTTGGATGACACTTTTGGAAGCCTCTCCCATACCTTCAGGGAACCAAGCCCGAGGCCCCATCCCTCAGCCCCCAGCCCTGTCCGAGAAGCCACTGATGCCTCAGGGCCTCCCTGGCCCTCCCCCATAGATGGACACCCCCATGACTTCCACAGTCTGCTGGCAAAGCCTTTCCCCAAGTCTGAAGCCCCTCACTCAGCCCCAACTCTGTCATCTGTGTCTGGAGGAAAGAAGAAACTTCTGCTCCAGAACCAAGTGAAGGGGTCCTTTTAAGAGCCTTGGGTTGGGGAGGACAGACACAAGGAAGTAGGGCCTAGGTCTGGAGGGGGAGAGCTGCCCCCCTGCGTGGTCTCCCCACCACATCCATTTCTCTGGGAAAGCTCTTCCCACCCGGCTGACATTGCTGGATCTGGAGGAGGCTGCCTGGGACAGCAGAGGGGTGGTGGTCAAAGGGCTGCACAGCCTCGGGGCTCCGTGAAGGCCAAGGCAGGGGATGGGTACAGGCGGCCTTGAGAAGGGGGCATGAGGGCCTTGGTGGGGGGTAAACTTTGGGCTTAAGGGCTGGTGGTGGGAGGAACTGGGGGTGGAGGTTGGGGGCTGGGGCCAGGTGGGCCGGAGGGCCCAGGGGCACCCTAGCTTCTGGCAGGTTTGTAAGCTCACCATTCCAGTGTTTAAAAGACACCCCAGAAAAGCACGACTCCAGTGCGTGTTCAGATCAAGCGTTCCTTGTCTCATTGACCCCGCCACCTTCCCCAAAGGTCTGAGCAAGCGGCCATGTGGGATAATGGTGCCTTCTCTTGTAGCCCGGCCTACCCAGCCTTCCAGGCCACAGAGTCTGGCCTCCAGTCGGCGCTGGCTCTGGTGGGACCCGCAGGTACCGGGGTGGTAGGACCTCAGCGCCGTAGGACTCTGAGGGCTCCTCCCAGAGCCTCTCACCTCACCAAGAGTCCATCACGGGTCAACAAGCCCTCACCACTGCCCCCCACACGTACACGCATGCACAAGCACACACACCCATGTAGGTACATGTGAGTGTCTGCAAAGCTTCTCACACAGGGGCAGTGGTTGTGGCCCTGACCCCACAGAGCCACACCTCCGAACTGGGCCTGTGCCGCCACTGCGGATTCGAGACGGAGTGCCCACCACGGCACCAGGGCCTGCAGATACAATGAGGTGCTTTCCACGGGCAGGTACTTCACATTATCACGGGAATAAAGCCCCTTTATTACCACAAGCCCAAACGCAAGGGAAAGAGGAGTTCCGAAGCCCATGCTGAGACCCCAGAGGAAGGTCATCCTGGCAGCAGGGGGCCCGGCACTGCGCACCCCCGGAGTGTGGCCCTGCTCTGTGATCAGCTTCTGCACCCTCGTGGGGGGGAGCGACGGGGAGCCCACCGCTGCAGGCAGGCCTCTCAGAGGACCGAAGACAAGAAGTGCCGACCAGGAGAGGGGCCCCACTTCAGAGCCTGCAACTCCCCAGGCCTCTGACCC